CGCCGCAAAGACAAGACAGCGCAGTTACATTAACAGCTCTTTTAAAGGAGGAGGTGGGTGGCCCTAAAAAGGGCCTTTGGTTTTGCTGAAGAAGCCAGTTGCTGGGGTCTCAGCCGCCGAAGCCGTAGAGCGTGCGGCCCTGGCGCTTGAGCGCGTAGACCACGTCCATGGCCGTGACCGTCTTGCGCTTGGCGTGCTCCGTGTAGGTGACGGCGTCGCGGATCACGTTCTCCAGGAAGACCTTGAGCACCCCGCGCGTCTCCTCGTAGATGAGCCCGGAGATGCGCTTGACGCCGCCGCGCCGCGCCAGGCGCCGGATGGCGGGCTTGGTGATGCCCTGGATGTTGTCGCGCAGCACCTTGCGGTGGCGCTTGGCGCCGCCCTTGCCCAGGCCCTTCCCGCCTTTGCCGCGACCAGACATCGTGACTTCCCAACTGCTCAGCTGGCAGCGCAATGGTGTTGGGAGCGCCGCTCAGCCTATTTATAGTCGTGGGCCGGACCTGATTGAAACCTACACGGCAGGCGTGGCGACCCACTCAGTTCCCGCCCTTTGTACATTGTCCCCGCTCCGAACTGTGGAAACCCGGTGTTGCGCCGGAAGCCACGCTGAGTCCGGGAGGGGGACTCTAATCAATGCTACGGCGTGTGCATATGTGGAGTTTGCACACAACACTTGAAGCCTGTAAGTGGGCCGTTCCATACACTTTCCACAAGGAAGCCTGACACTTGTCCTTCGGGGTCCCCAAAATATGAAGTCATGAGTTCGTGCGTGTTGTTCCTCATAAAGATCTAAGCCATGCAATTTGTTTAACATCTGAACACACACACACAAATAAAACAGCCACAACATTAATTATTCCTCTCCCCAAAGTGCACTCCTCTAAAATGATGAGTACCAAGACAGCATCCTAATTTGCGAAAACTTTCTGTGGGGCTATGGAAAATTTTTCCTCCCATCTTCAGAGTTCTAGGTGAGCTAATCCAATTAACAGCGACAGGTAAACGGGAGAAAGGAAAACGTAATAAATACATCTACATGGGGAATTATGAAAATCCCAAAGACGGGCAAAATGAAGTATATATGTCATTTTGAATAAAAGAGAAAGGGCTTTGAGATTTCAAAGGAGAAATAGGCAATTTGCAGGTAACGAAAGTGGGAAAAAATTTCTTGCTAGACAACTCAGAAACAACGGGGCAAAGGGAAATGCAGTGAACAGATCTTTGCACGGGTCCTTCCTGACTTTCATAGTTAATTCTTCTGTGCTAAAGTGTGTTTTCTGAAATGATTATGCTCTGGTTCCCTTCGTAAAGCAGGCTTCCCTATCCGAATCTCATTAAGAAGGAGACACTGCCCTGGCCGGTTTGCTCAGTGGATAGAGCCTCCGCCTGCAGACCGCAGGGTCCTGGGTTCAATTCTGGTCAAGGGCACATATCTGGGTGGCAAGCTCCATCCCTGTTTGGAGACATGCACGGGGCAGCGATCAATGATTCTCTCTCATCATTGGTGTTTCTATCTTTCCCCCTTTCCCTTCTCTGAAATCAATAAAAATATTTTTATTTTTAAAAAGGAGACACTTTCCTGTTTGTGTTGGGCTTCAGTTGATTTCAGCTCCAAATTATCTGTATGCCAAGGGGGCACACTGATGGGAGTGCTCCTCCCAAACCCCACACTTCTTCTGAGAACAATTCACAACAATAAATACTTATATATTTACTTCATCACTCACTTCGTTGAGAAGTTCCAGCTGACTTTGGGTAGACCTGGCTTTTCTCCATGGTTTGTAAGGAGGACCAAGCTTGCATCAAAGTTGCTCCACGAGCTCACAGTATATGGAACCCTCACTGGTTTGGTTCAGTGGGTAGAGCACAGGCCTGTGGACAGAAGCCTCCTGGGTCCTGGGTTCGATTCTGGTCAAGAGTGCATGTCTTGGTTCCGAGCTCCTCCCTGGTCTGGGCGATATTTCTCTCTGTCTTTCCATCTCTCTCTAAGAATTCAATAAAAAATATTTTTAAGTATTTTAAAAATATTTTTTTAAAGAAAGCAACAACAACAAAAAACACACTGTATGGAAACAAATTCCAGAGTGGAGTTATTAACCTGGGAATTCAGACAGGATTCAGAGGGTCTGAGAACTTGTGTATAAAAAAAACACCTTGATCTTTATTGTTAATATCCCCCAACGGAATGGTAGCGTTTCCTCTGTTTATGAAAACAGTTAACAGTATAATTGGCTAGACCTGTGCTACAGTCATATCACAATGCATCTACAGCTATTGATATCTCAAAACATCATTTAAATATATCACTCCATCAGACTCTAATTCTTGGTCATATGGGTAATCTTATTTAATGTTTTGATAAAGAAGAACATATGTTAACACATGTTAATACTTCCCTGATTTGCACTTTTGATAAACCTAATAACAGTAGTTTAATATGGTGTTTTTGTAATCCTATGTATATTTTAATATTTTAAAAATTTTATTTATTGATTTACAAACGTTTCTAATCCTACCTGAGGATATGTCTTTTTATTACTGAGAGAGAGAGAGAGAGAAAACATTGATGTAACAGAGACACATCGATGGGTCAAGGAGAAAGCGTAACTTCCTGTGCTTTGCCGTGTCCTGTCGTGTCCCAGGACTTCCCTTTCATAGTCCGAGGGGAACGCAGCCTTGAGCTTGTTGACGACGAGCACAGAGCTTGAGGAGCAAAAAAAATCAAATCACTGTCGCCCAACTCAAGGAGTTTGCCGCTTGGGCTGTTCGGGTCAAGAAAGACAGTCGTGGGCCTGTCCTTTTATTTACTTGCAGCAGGTGGAGGAGACGGATTCACAGCCAAAGCTCCGTCCCCTGAAGGGGCTTAGCCAGTGCTCATAGACTATTTGGTTAAACACTTGTTGATTTCTCCTTTGCTGTTCATGTACCAGATTTGATTCCTGTCAAGCCCCTTGGCTGTTTCTGTGTCTACAAAACACTGTGCTGTGTTTCAGCATTTAGCAAAAACAGCATTCAGTGAGACACCTGTCCTAACAACCCTACCATCAACCTGTATCTTACTGAACAGAAAGCATACGCTGTAATGTGCTGCCGATAAACCTATATCCTTTCTTAAATAAGAATTTTAGTAGTAACTATAGAACATTCTTGCTTGTAAATGTCCCTGTCCTAAAGGAATCCTACCTGAGTGAGTGTGTGTGCTGCGTATATTCCTTAATGCTGCTGTTACTTGAATTCTGTCCAAATGCATCTTCCCCAAGCATGACAGACTTCTGTGCCCAAAAGCTCATGAACATTTGATTAACATCCCCCTCTTTAAAAAAAGAATTTTTTTAACCTGTAGAAAGCACCAACTCTCTTTCTGCCTTTACCTGAATCTATTCTGCCATCAGCTACTGTAACAGGCCCAACTGCCCTGAAAGACAAGCATCGATTACTACATCCCCCATTTCCTTTAAATAAATAGTGACTCCTTACAGCCAAAAATAGTCACCAGAAGCTGTGCTACAGCTTTTTCAGACAAATCAAAGGCTTTTCTGATGAAAAATCACTGGTGTTCCAAGCACCCTTCAGGACTGCTCTTGGAGAGAAATCCTGGGAGAGCCTGTGCTATTTCTCCTCCTCGGAAGGCGATTTTCTGGGTAAATCTCGAGGAGAAGGCAGCAGATGCTGACATGGATGACAAGCCAAGAAGGTATAGAACATTATCGGGGGGCAAGATATTGGAGACACACCGGGAAAATTTTATATTTTAAACGAAAATCAACAAGTGGACTCTCTGACCTGTGAATCTCTCAGAGTGTCGGGGGCTTTTGACAAAGGCTGAGACCGACGTGACGCTAATCGAAAGGCGACAGTCTGACGGCCTCAAAGCTTGACCTGTCCCGGTGGATTGTAGAGTAAAATTGCAGTGGTTCTTCCACAGGGAATTTTAATTTTTGGGCTTTCCTGGAATGGAACAAACACAATTCCGAGACGGAGCTGAGACCCAGTTGCTCGGGGCGGAAGAGGGAGCTGGGAGCCAATCAGCGCGCGGCGTGGCTGTGTGTTTATATAGACGCTCTCCGCACCGACCGCGCCACTCGCAGACTCGTTTTTTTTCATCTGCCAGGTACCCTCGCCGCCGACCATGTCCGAGACCGCACCGACCGCGCCTCCCGCGCCTTCTGCGGAGAAG